GTAATGTAGCATGTAGCCAACTTCGGGTCAGCTTCCATTTCACAGTCTGCTGAAGTGGCGGTTCACTATTGGAAACTTTACCCAGTCCCAGGACTCAGCCAGGATCCTTAGAGCACAAAAGCAGCCCACAGGCTGGGGCGCATTCATTAAGCTGCACAAGCAGAAACCGTGCAATAATAGCATGAGCACCTGCCTCACAGTCCCTGATGGAGGGAGAGTAAAGTTCAAAGCACATGAATAGTAACTCTGAGGTTCCACCAGAGAAGATCTCCATCTAGACAGGCTGTCGATGAAATCTAGTTTTAGACACAATGTGTCATATATGATTATAACTTAAGAGAGAATTGAACTAGACTTTATTAGCTTGCCTGATGTATCTGAATTGTGATTTCTTCATTCCCAAGGTAAAGATAGTATTTGCCTCTTAGGATTATGAAAATTAAAATAAGACAAGAGTCTTTGTCAAAGTACATTAAGTGTAATGTGTGATAAATACTCAAATGTTCGTTTTTCTCCTTTGAGGGAGTGTTTATAATAAAGTTGGAGTTTTCTGTCTTACAAAGGAATTTACTAACAACACTGATTTTTAAAAATTTTAAACCATTCAAAGAAAACAGGCTAGACGTGGTAGCCTATGCCTGTAATTCCAGTACTGGGCGAGGGTAGAGGGGTGGGAGGGGGGGCAGAGTCAGCATGAATCAGAATCTAAAGCCAGTAAGATCTGCATACAAACCCTGTTTGGGGGTGAGGGGTTGGTGGGAGTCCTATACAAGGCAGGAAAGGACTAAATACAACTTAATGGTAATAAAAATAAATAAAAATTTAAAGCTGCACTTTAATTGGATCAACTTGCCTGACCTGGTCACTGAAACCAATTATTGTGGCCAAACAATGAAATGAACCACTGGCTCCTTGAACCAAGAGGCTAAACAAGGTTGACTTGCCTCGTCCATGGGAATCCACAGCACAGCAGGAAGGGAGGTGCAGTGCTGGAAGAGGGAGACTCAAGGACCTCATCAGGCAACCACATCGTGTCTGCTTTGGTCAGCTATAAACAGTACCTGAAACACATTAAACTATATATACATAAAGACTAAATGGAAACTTAACTTTTGAGAGATTCTTCAAGGTACTAGCTAAAAATAAAACTAATGGATTTTCAGAAGAGGAATAACAAGGACTGAGTGTGAAAAGCCACAGCGGAAAATGACAAACTTAAAATGTTCACTGCTTCTAATTAAAGAAATGGAAATTGGAGACTCTCTAGAGAAGCCCATGGAGAGTGCACTCCTCTATTTCTCCACTCTTTTAATGCTGTGGTTAAATATATATTAAAATCATTTTTAATAAACTATAACCTACAAGCACGCACACATATAATTTGGAGAGACAGCTCAGCGGCTAAGAGCACTGGCTGTTACAGAAGACTGGGATTCAATGCCCAGCACCCACATGGCAACTCATAACAGTCTGTAAAACTCCAGTTCCAGAGGATCCAACATCCTCACACAGACGTACATGCGAACAAAACACCAATGCACATAAAATAAAGCCCAAACCAGCAACTACTATTTCATAACTATTCTATTTGAAAATGTAGCAGTATTCAGTGTTGGGAAGGGAACAGGGAAGTGTGGTGGTCTGAAGAGAATGGTCCCCATAGGCTCATGTTTGGATACTTGGTCCTCAGTTGGGGCAACTATTTGGGAAGGATTAAGATGTGTCTCACTGGGCTCTGAGATTTCAAAGACTAGTGCCATTCAAAGTGTGCTCTCTGCCTCCTGCTGGGGGTCAGGGTGTGAGTCTCAGCTGCTGCCCAGCCACCCCTACTTTCCATCTAGCCCACCTTCATGACTCTGACCTCCTGCAATCATACGCCCCAAATAAATTCTTCTATAAATTGCTTTGGTCATGGTCTCTCATAACAGCAATAGTTAAAAAAAAAAAAAGTAACTAAGACACTGGCAACCATATACATGTGAGTTTCAGGCCTTTTATGAAAGTAATCTGAAATTTCCACAATTAGTAATCTATAAAGAACTCAAAAGAAAGAAAAAACCTATATGCACAAAATTCATAATGGAAATACTTCTTAAAACAGAATTTAAAAAATAGGTAAAGCCAAATGGCTAGGTAGTTGTTTAATTATGGTTTAATTACAGCTGTTATAGCCAATGCTATAAGAATATGTTTAACAAGTTGTATTGCCTAGAAGCATTGTAATAGTATAACAATCATAGGAAATTTATATGAAAATAAGATGACCATTTAAAATCTAACATTATTAAAATAAATCTATTATTTTTGTTTTTTTAAGATACTTATTTTTTATTTTATATGTATGAATGTTTTGCCTGCGTGTGTTTCTGTGTAACACATGAGCCCAGTATCCATGGAGACCAGAAGGCACTAGATCTCTTGGAACTTGAGTTACAGATGGCTGCGAGCTTCCATGTAAGTGCTGGGATCTGAATCAAGATCCTCTGCAAGATAATCAGTGCTCTTAATCATTGAGCCATCTCCTCAGCAACAAATTTTGTCTTTAAAACATCTGATGTATCTGGTACCATGTTTTGAAAAACCTGAACTTCACCAAAAATGGGCAACAACAATTATATTTTAGATAAAATATAATTCACAGAAATATTAACTTTCAAGAATATACAGAGTTTTAAAAGTATACTTAGATAACTACTCCTGATGAATAAATGGCTCATGACAGTTTTTATAAAATAGATGTGGAAAATTTCAAAATCCCCTATACCAACACAAAGTACTGGGCTTATTTCTATGAAATGCTTTATGTTCTCATCTGTTTCATTAGCACAGCTCCACAGGAGACCACTGAAGCCCTGTTTCTGGAATGCTGCCCCAATTCTTCTCACCCAGGCCTTGTTGCCAGGGCTGCAGCTGCACAACCAATTCTTATTAAAATGGAGTCTTTGAAATGCTGGTCTACGGAGAAGGATATAAAGGATTTCATTATCTCTTCTCAAAACTCACAGTGAGGGAGGGCAGCGCTCCACCCTTCCCAAGGCACAAAACCACTCACATCCCTCTCAGCCAACTTAAACACCAAGACAAAGGCAGCAGCTCAGCCTTAGACAATGCAAGAAGTCGTGACAGACAGCACTGCACAGCAGCGTCAACGTCTAGCAGGTTATTTTCAAATGAGTGTAAAATGAGTGGTGTGGTCATGAGCGATGGCCGTGACCTGAGAAACAACACTTGGGAGAAAGACTCAGCACTCTGTGACAACAACCAAGAATAATTTCACCGACAAAACTGGGAAAACTGAAAGGATTCACTCTTTGCTATTGTACTGAGGGCCTAACAGCTGCTTGGAGAATTTTATGGATGGGTTACTCTCCTCCATTTTCATTAGGAACACATGCCCTTTGGCTCTCTCAATAAAATTCATAACAACTGCTGGCCTTGCTCCGAGAGACAATTTATGAGTTAATCTATCTGATGAGAAACATTAACACAAATCTACAAAGATTAGTTATTTTCAGCTGAATGTAAACAGATAAATACTCAAAGTCAAAGTAAAAACCAAGGCCAGATTTTTGTTAAACAGTATTTTCAATGTTCGTAGGACACTAGACTTCTTGCAGCACAAAGAACTTAAGAACACCAATGACTTTAGGGACAAGAATTCAGTCTGGAAACGTCCCTTGGAGTGTACAGTAGTCTGCTCCCCAGTGATGCATTTACAGTGGAAGAAAGCAGGAAAAGAGAGGAAGGGACACTCTCCCTTGAGGACTTGACCACACAACATCCACTTCAGAGAAAGAGACACGAGACCCAGTCCTAAAAGTGCACAATTACTGGCATTTTATCTGTCATAATCAAAACCGAATCAGTGATCTAAGTGTATTTAACACACACGAATACAAGAAAAAAAGACTAAATGCATGTTAAACTGATTTTCCTAGATTCTTCCCCTCTTGCAGCTGTCAAGCTCTACATGAAATGTTCACTCAGCATTTGCAAAAGAATTTTAAAGCAATTTTATGATTTTTCTAATAGGTTTTTGCCCTTAGTACATGCGATTTTATTTTTAAAAGCTCGATTTTAAAGTTTTAGGTTCCCCCTTTATTTTAGAGAACTGTATTTTTTAAATTTTATTTAATGTGGATAGCCAAAAGAACCTATCGAACCCTTAAATCCCCTGTCCCTACCAGTGTTGACTGTGTGGTGGGAGACACCATCCCTTCCTCTCAGAAGGGTGTGTGTGTTCTTTAACCCGGAGACTGTGATGGAAGGGGTTGCTATCTTTTACACATGCCTCAACAATCCTTATTTTTTAATGTACTAGATTACATGATGAAGAGAGGATAAATATGGTCTGGATAGAGGAATATGTACATATTTCTGTTGTTGTTGTTTTTTGTGTGAGACAGAGTCCTTCTGTATAGTCCTGGCTATCCTGGAACTCATTATATAGACCAGGCTGCCTATGCCTCCCAAGTGCTATAATTAAAGGCATGCACCACCATGCCTAGCTTCCAGTAGATTTTTGTTTGTTTGTTTGCTTGTATGTTTTGTTTCATCATTGTGGTTGTTGTTGTTTGAGACACGGTTTCTCTGTATAACAATCCTAACTGTCTTAGAACTAGCTCTTGCAGACCAGGCTGACCTTAAACTCACACAGATTCACCTGCCTCTGCCTTCCAAGTGCTGGGATTAAAGGCACCACAATCACCCGCGCTTCCAGTAGATTTTTAAAATGGCTTTGAAGAGTAGTCAACCATTACCGACTGCTTTTATTGATAAAATGTGGAATGTACTGTAACTAACTGAACGATGGCCATGAGATGACAACTGTCATGACCGTCACATAGGCAATGGAATGGCTGTGCTTAACCTGAAGATCAAAACCACACTCTGGACTCTGACAAAATGAACTAATTAATGGTTAGTGCTAAGAACGCAAAGAAAGCAGACTGCTTTTGTGGCGATCACTTTAATAACTAGCCATCAGTGGCCAGACTTACCACTCACAATGCGGCCACTTATTCAGCTATCTCTGAGTGAAGACGGTTCCACACGACACACACAGGTGACTGCAGATGCAGTAGCAGCAGAAGTTGCTCCTGGAAGATTTCTTCTCATTTAGTTTTCCCGTTTCACTCAAAACTGGCCCTATCTGCAAACGAAAGCATGCAATTAGGAGGCAAAAGTGGCAGGGAGAAATTCCTCCATCCATATAATTAAATGATACAACATGAAAACTAAACTCAAATGCTAGACTCACTAAGCACCATGTTTAAACAAACAACCTACTTTTCAATGCCTGTAACATGCTTATTACACAAAGTTACACCCTTTTTTCATCATATAAATTGATCGTTGCTTCCATGGTATGCAAGATACAACTTATGACCCATTGAGCAGAATCCAGGTAACAAGTCTTCAGTGAATACACACAAGGTTGGCTTACACACTGTGTTAAAGAACATGTTCCTACATTGACAAATCTAAAGACTTCACAAGAAAAATTCAGATTTCTGCTCTCTTGAAAAAAACAAAATCAAACAACATGAGGTCTACTCCTACGTGGCGCACTATCAGATTGGATGGGTGTGGGCTTTCTGGCTGGCTCTCCACAGATGCTGCCACTCTACCCTAGTTCAGTGTAACCTAGTTCACAGTTACCTGTCTGGACCCGATAAGCATCTGAGCTTTCAAACTCTGGTATGTATTTTTAATAGCTCACAGGGAACATTGTATTATTGTCAAACCCAAACATATTTTCTTGATTTAGGAATATAAAATAACATGAAATAGATACATTAGGTTTAAGTCAGAAAGCTGTAGATTTGAGTTCTAATTCTGAGTATCAGTAGCTGTGTGATCAGGCCCATATCAAAGCTAAGCTATTTTTTCATATAGAAACATCCAAACAAACAAACACTTAACACACTAAGCAACAACGAGCCTAAAATCTAGCACGCACAAGCTCAATTGGTAATCCTAATCACTTCTTTCTCGTTATTGCTCATCTCAGGGACCACACCGTATCTCATGTCAGCACTATCCAATGTCTTCACCCCCTAAAAGCACTGCCAAGTCAAGTCAATCCTCCAATCCCAGCCATACAAACAAACGGCAACTCTTCCCTAAGTTTCCACTGCTTTGCTGAAGTTGTATATTCAACTGTTTAAGTTGTGGTAGGCTTGCTTGCCTTGTGTGCACAATGCTCCAGGCTTAATCCTTAGCACCAAAAATATGGCAGAGATAGAACAACTAATTGTGTCCTCCAAATGCTGCTGGTACAAATTTGAATTACATAGTCCTTTTTTTTTAAATTTTGTAGCTGCTTTAACACACATGCACAAGCCAGGTAGCGGTGGCACACGCCTTTAATCCCAACACTCAGGAGGCACAGGCAGAGGATCTCTGAGTTTGAGGCCAGCCTGGTCTACAAAGTGAGTTTCAGGAGAGCAAGGACTAAACAAAGAAACCCTATCTTGAAAAACAAAACAAAACAAACAAAAATCCACACACAGACCAAAAACCAACCCCACCCCACCAGTGTCATACAATGCAGCTATTGCATCCCTAGGGGACATCTGTAAAACATCACAGCAGTTTACTGCAACAGGTCACTGACTTGAGACTATCTCTATACTTTCAGTCCCTACACTATGAAATACATTAAGTTGTATAGTGTTTGGGTTTGATTAATTTTGGCATGTGATGTTTTTATTTATTTGCAAATTTTTATAACTAAAAGTTTATAAGATTAAAATTTTTTAATGAAATGCAACCTAACTCACTATGTAAATATACAAAAAAACCTAACTGACTGGCAGAACAGACAGCTGAGTCTCACCCAATCACAAGTCAAACTTCAGCCAAGCACATGCTGCCAACAGGCCAGACCACACCCAAAAGGTACTTTACTTCCCTTTTTTGTATAGATCTAGAAAGACTCAATACCCAGTTAGACAAAACTCTCTGAATCTTTTATGATTATGAGCATTGCCTAATTCATAAAAATCATTCTTTACTCAAATTCAGCTTTATTTAAATATGCCTAAAGTGGTTTTTTTTCTTATTTAACAGAAAAAAAAGGCAACAACTGCCTGTAGATAGGTGAACGGGTAAACAGGAGGATAACCTTCACTCGGGGAGGCACTTACAGCCATGCACCACACGTGTGGGAACTATGAATGCAACCTAATACAAAACTGTAAACTGACTTAAAACAGTGTGAGATTGTGCATGTGTGTGTGCGTGCGTGCGTAACTTAGCTACCTGGTTCTCAAGGGTGAACTTTGCAGAGGACAACATAAAAAACAACATGAACATGCCTGGTTGCAACAATGAATGAACCACTCTAGGGCTGTGGGGATGGCTTAGTAGGTAAAGTGCTTGCCATACAAGAATAGAGATCTGAGTATGGATGCCCTGCACAAACATAAAAAGCTGGGTGCAGTGGCACACATCTGTGACCCAGTGATGAGGGTGCCAAAATAGGTGGATTCTGGAGATCTGCTGGTCAGCCAGAATAGTCAAAACGCCATGCTCCAGGTTCACAGAAAAACTGCCTCAAAATATACAAGGGAGGCAGCCAGTGCGATGGGTCACTGAGTAAGAGTACTTGCTGTCAAGTCTAAGTTCAACTTCAGAGATCCTCACAGTGAAGAAAACCAGTTCCCTCAAACTACCCTCTGACCTCCGCACATATGCATTTATACACCCACATACATACACACATACAATAAATAAGTAAATGTAAAAAAATTTTAAATAGTGTCAAAGAGGCCGGGCAGTGGTGGCGCACACCTTTAATCCCCCAGCACTTGGGAGGCAGAGGCAGGTGGATCTCTGTGAGTTCGAGGCCAGCCTGGTCTACAGAACAGGCTCCAAAGCCACAGAGAAACCCTGTCTCGAAAAAGAAACAAACAAACAAACAAAAATAGTGTCAAAGGAAGATAGCATACCTCTGGTCTTTACATATCCACACATGATTAAGCACACACACACATACACACAGACCTCATGCAAACATAATTTACCATATATCCATCATGAATCAAAAAATAATTATCAATTATGCTTCATTGAAAACCCACTCACATTGAGTGTGTAGGTCTATGGTATAGCACTTGGCAAGCATACACAAAAATCACAGTTTTATCTTCAGCACTGTGAGGAAACAAACATATACGCACATGCAAACATGCACACACAAACACGAGTATGCTGTAAAATCCATTTATATAAGTTCTAGAAAACAGAAACTAGCCAGGCAATGGTGACAAACGCCTTTAATCCCAACACCCAGAGGTGTTGCAGAGGAAGGCGGATCTCTGTGAATTGGAGGCCAGCCTGGTCTACAGAGTGAGATCTAAAACAGCCAAGACTGAAGAAACACTATCTCAGAGAGAGAGAGACAGACAGACAGAGACAGAGAGACACAGGAAAAAATCAAAAACTAATTTCTAGTAACAAAGAGTAGGTGTATCAATTTCCTGGAAATAGGTATGGGCAGGCAATGAAAAGGACTACAAACGGCTGAAAGCAAACTTTTGGGGTGACAGATATTTTCAATTATATTTGTTATAGTGGTTTTTGTGGTGCTGGGGTCACACCACTGTCTTGGGCACCCCAGGCAAGCTCTGGTCCACTGTCTGTTCCCAGTCTCAGATTTCCTGTAGCTCAAGTGTGGTATCCCTTCATAGGCATATATGTATGGCAAAGTTATCAAACCGAACACTTTTTAAATGTGCAATTATTCTGCTTAAAACCAAATAACTCACTGCCTACTGATAATTTGTAGCAACACTGATTTGTAGCAACATTGATTTACATGGAAAGCTGGATCCTTTCAATGCATTTAAGTTTGACACATTTAAGCAAGGAACCTCTGCCATTTACTTCCTCTGTAAATAAACTACAAAAAATATAACCATTCACATAAATAGCTTAAGGGAAAAGTTATCTGGATAACCAAGCAGCAGAGATACACTGTTAACTCTACAGTCCTGATATATTTTGCTGTATCTGGTGGTGCTGCTCACATTCCTAGATGTAGTAGGTTTACTGACAAAGTATACAGACAAAGGTTAGACTTTTAGAAATCGTTTCTATAGTTCAAAATCTATTACAAGTGAGGATAGCGTAAATAAGGCCAAGTTTTAAAAGAGGAGGCCTACTTCTAATTATTGATGTTTCAAAACATGATGGGAAAGGCTGCAAATGTCCAATCATCATGCACAAAAGAGAGACGAGTTATGAAAGTGATCTGCTGGTAGGAATGCAAAGCCACAGCGCCTGTGAGGGAGTCTGAAGACTTCCAGATGAAAGGAGACAACTACTGCCTGTGGGTGTATGGAACACAGCACAGCACTGAGAAGAAAGGGCTTGAGCCTGAACTCCAGCTCCACCACTTATTAAATGGGCTAAAGTTAAGCAACCTACATACCCTCTCCAAGCCTCAATTTGCTGAACTACAAAATGAAAACAATCCATAAAATTATTAAGGCTTAAATTAGGTTAAATTCTGTGAATGCTTATGACATGGTCTGGCACAAAGACTCTAGAATGTAATTATCAAATCAAACCATGTGATGTTATATCACGTTATCAGCTGTTTAAACAGTCTAAAGTCAGGACATTTTAAAATACATAGCACAGGCACAGCAACTGTAGTACAATATAGTATTACCAGTGAGCTGGAGCCAGGTGTGATGATCCACAGACACAACCCCAACAATGTGGAACAACACAAACAGAAAAGAAGAATTTTATGTCAGCCTGAACTACAGTTGACCTAGACTGTATCAATAGTAAAATAAACATAATTTCCAGTTTTGACCACCAGAAGAATTGTAAACAAGTTATTTTATATACACACACACACACACACGTTTGGTTTCATTAACTATAAAATGAATACAATGCCATTAGCTTAGTATAATGCTTGACACACAACAACTAAAAATTAAAATATTTCATTATGTTACTAATGAAATAGATTTATTATAAGCTTGTATAAGGACCATCCACCGTGGTCCCAATTTATGATGATTTTCACAGTCGTTCCTATCTCTATCTCAGGATATCCAGTTCAAATAACAAATTATACCAAAATTCTAGTAAAATTATAAATTACATGGTCATCCTTGTTTAAAACTG